TTGTTTAATGTGATAATTAGTGCATTCAGTCTTTAACTGGTGGCATAAATTTTTGTATTGGCTTTTGAAATTGGCAACATGACGAGATTTGTTTTTCCACCAGAGTGATCTCTTTTTGGATTGAAGTTTCCTTATTGTTATGAATAGTCTGTTTTTGTTGTTGTTGTTGTTTTGGGAGTTGTTGTTGGTACATATAGTTTGATGACTCTTTTGGCTTCAAGTAAAAATATGTTGTAATGGTCTTCAACAGTATTGCATCCAGTGAATAGAGATTGCAATCAATGGATGAGAGATCGTTGTCTATAAGATCATAGTTGCCTTTTTTGAAGTTATAATTGGGGATTATGTCATTGTGATAATTTTTGTGTGGGCGTATTCTGAGACAAAAGTCAATCATATTGTGATCACTGCTGGAAAAGGGTTCTTTAGTTTGTATTCCATAAATTAAATTCAAACTATTGCAGAAGATGAGATCGAGGCAATTATCTAGTCTAGTGTTGTTGGTTACTAGTTGTTCCAGTCCCAGATTTGTAAAAGCATTGTAGAAGGTTGCATTATGGGTTTGGTTGTACATTCATTTAGGGTCCAGTCAATATGAAGTAGATTGAAGTCACCAAGAAAGATAAAAGCATGTTGGCAGGATGTTGCCCATGTTATAGTGAATTTAGCTTGTTTACATGTTTAATGTCATAATCAGGTGCTCTATAACATAGTAAGAATCGAAATGTGATATTTAAGAATAGTTCACAGATTATGGTCTCAGCAAGCTCCTGGATAACTTGGATGTTTTTTAGATGTAAGAACTTTTTATAGAAGATAGCAACACCACCTCCTCTATGAATTTCATGATCTGATCTTACCAATAAATGAAAATCTTTTACTGTCGTAATGGAGTCAGGGAGAATATTCTATTCAAATTTATTTCTATGGAGATTCTCAGTCACCCAGGTTATCATTGTCCCAGGGGTGCTTTTTCAAGAGACAAGTGGACTTTCTGTTTTTTCTTTGAAGACATTTCACTTCTCATCCAAGAAGTTTCTTCAGCTCTGACTGGACAGAACCAGCATCTGTGTTCAGCAGTGAAGGGACACAGGCCAGAAATATCCTGCAGAAAGCACAGCTCCACAACACAGTCTTTTTAACAGTTCCAAGAAAGCTCCACACACATTTGCACTACTCGGATGACTCTCCAAGTGGCCTCAATGGCTCTCAGAAGGAATTCAAATGACCAGTTGACTACAAGGAATATAAATCTCTTTACCCCCACCATCCAGTCAGAACTGAAGAAACTTATTGGATGAGAAGCCAAATATCTTCAAAGAGAAACAAGAAAGTCCAATTGCCTCCTGAAAAAGCACCTTTGGAATTTCATATTTATGAAAGTAAGGTATTAGATTGGCCAAATATATTGGCCTTTTGTAGCATAAGTAAGTTGAAATGGTTCTTCTCCTTCTCCTTTGGATTCCTTCTCAAAAGAAATAAGTTTGAGGGGTCCTTGATGCTGTCAGAGGCTGGTAGTTTCATTATCCAAACTAGGTAGCATCATCAGTGCTAAAATTGTTCGATTGATCCTTGTCAGGACCCCATACCTGCCATGGCTGAAGCATTGCAGTCCCTGAACTCTTTTTGCCTTCCTTCCTTCTTTTCCAGGATCCAGAGGAATATGCAGCATTCAAGGCATGAGCCAGTGTCTTCATGATACTGTAAATCTGGTGGTCATTTGCAATCTGGATACTGTTCTGTTTCTCTTGGCTCTCCAGTGTTGCTTTTTGTGTGCATCTTCTCGGGCCTTGGACAGAAAACTTGTGCTTTGAGAAACTACAGTGAAAAGACTGTACTTCAAACTGGGAATTTAAAAATAAAGAGGGTTCAAAGGCATCATCTTTTGGCATTTTGTTCTCCTGAAAATTAAAGTACCAAATACTATGGACATATTTGAAAAAGTTGTGGTTTTTTCATATTCAATTCTGGAAAGACTGTCATGATCCAGACTTTCCCTTCAATGGGTCCTGGCCAATTTTCAAATGTTAAATGGAAAGGAAGAATTCTGTCCAATGGGGAAACATATTCTATGAAGTGAACAAAGATATTGACTTGTCTCCACCTAGAGAGGGCATCCCCGAGGGCTCCTGTATGTCCAGTTGTTGAGAATCATTGTGATAAAATGACACAAATTCCATTCCTTGCAAGCATAGGAGTCAAAGTTCTCATGAAATTATCTCCCTCCTCTGTATCTGAAGCAAAGAGACCAATCAAGATCGATCTGAAATGAGTGAGTATTTGGACAATTCTTGGGTACTGGATCCCTTCTCTGGGAACCATCCGGTGGAAAAAGGGGAAAATAGTTTTATCACTAATAGCCACTGAAGCAGTTGCATAACTGATCTGAAAAAGCAATAGCAATACCACTTAGACTTATATACTTCTCCACAGTGCTTTACAGCCCTCTCTGAGCAGTTTACAGTGTCAGCATAATGGCCCCAACACAGGGGTGGGATTCTACCAGTTTGGCCTGATTTGGATGAACTGGTAAATCTGAAGATCAGCTGGGAGTGAACCGGTTCACTCCAACAATCAGCTGTTGGGCACACTGACCGATCCCGGCTCTGGTCTGTGCTTTATTTCTGGGTTTTCCAGCTCAGCTGCTTTGCGTGGCATGGCCGATTGCCATGTGTCAGCTTTTTTACATACAGAGCTTGCAGCAGAAGGTGAGTTGCAAACTCTGCACACACATGCGCACGAAGTGCATGTTCACTGAACCGGTTGTTACACCGGTTGAGTCCCACCCCTACCCCAACAATCTGGGCGCTCATTTTACCCATCTTGGAAGGCTGGAAGGCTGAGTCAACCTTCAGCCTGGGGAGATTCAAACTGCCAAATTGCAGGCAGCTGGCAATTACCAGAAATAGCCTGCAGTACTGCACTCTAACCACTGTGCCACTGAGGCTCAATGAAGAAAGTTGGGTTCTATGTTATATACATATAAATATCAAGATACAAAATATAATGTTATGGCAAATATAAATATTCCATATAAAAATAGATTAAGAGAAACAAATTAATTAGAATAAGACTAATGAAGGCTAATTATATTTCTGTATTACCCACATAATTTACCACAAATCAAGTTCAGATGTGCAGAACTCAAACAAAATGTTCTGTTTGAATCAAACACTTTTCATACGTAATTTTTGAATTCTGACCATGCAAGTAATATATTGCTTTAATACAATGATCCTGATAGATTTTTCATCCAATTTGAAGTCCAAGATACCTCTCTTTTTTATGCAACTGACTG